GTGACTTGTGTATACAGGCTTTTCAACACCTGAGTTGTTATGCGGAGGACTCCACTTTCTATCCATTTTCTACCGGCTTTTCAACACCTGATGTTGTTCTCCTATCAAAGAAGACATGTCAAATCTCCTTTCTGGTGTGCTGTAATTTAAGTCTGGAAGAAGCTAAGGCTGGACGTGTGGGTTACATCGGTCACAAAAGTTGAAGTCCTTTGTCAACCAATTTTTCGAGAATCCGCACATTACAGGCCCTGAGGGTGAATGGAAAATGGCAGATACAGCTCCACATAGTTTTGGTAGAAAATGGATAGAAAGAGGAGTCCTCCGCATAGGTGATCTGTGGGATCACATCATAGGGAACTGGATCTCGGATTCGAAACTCAAGGACCAATTGGGTCAACTGCACCTAGTGATTGAGAGAAAAGAGCTAATTTTTAGCATCTATCCCAGATGCCCGGAAAGGAATATTGCCCACTCAGACAACAGATCCTCCAGGCACATGGTATGTTAATGTTAGAAAAGGCTCGTCCTCGGTTTGAAAACTGATCAATATGCAGGCAGACGGTAAACGCATATTCCAAGGATAGAAATGCTCAGACAAGTTGAGACAACAAGACCACGCTTCAACCAGCAGATTCTGTGTCACCAGACTTCTGGTGAGGTGCTCACACAGATCAGAGTGATTGAAACACTGAGTGCTAGAGGTACCTTCAATTGCTCTCTGTTTGCCCAGGGAAAGCCAAGCTGGAACCCAAAGCATGGGAATGGAGAGCAAAAGGAAAGAAAGTGGAGAACATATTAATGCTAGATTACACACAGCAGATAGGATACAACATAATAATTCCACTAAGAAATCCCCTGATAGTATCAAGAACCAGATGGGTATCTTTACTACCTGAATAAGATCCTGTATCTCTCACGAAGATGATCAAGAATTGTTTGGCCCAGCTGAAAAACATTCCCAATCAAAGATTTGCGGCTATTTTGTGGCTTATTTCCTTGGCTGCCACCCCGACTGCAATCTGGTTGATACAACATGGACTGAAGATAGATACAAAACGCACTAGATGCGAATGGGCTTTTGCGTCCATTACCCATCTGTGGTGGGACTGTCCTGCATCAACCAGAATCTGGAAATGGTGGATTGGACACTGGAACAGAGTTGCAGATAACTTGCTGCTGTGGGATAGAACATGGTGTCTAAGTTGTGTAATTCTGCAAGGACTCAAACTCGGAGTCCAAAAAGGTTGGGGTTACATTGCACAGACGGCGAGAACGCTCATCTATGCAGTCATTTGGCATAGTCGCAATGATGCGGTCTTTTAAAAAGGCGTGGACGAACAAACAGATTCGTGGGGAAATCTTCCAAGGGCTCAGAAGATCAATTCAAGCAGACTGGAGAAGCAAGGTAACCAAATCAGAGAACCAGACAGCAGGCAAAAGATGGTTTTTCAAAGACATGGCGTCTATCCTGTTCGCTAGCTCTTGTGATTGACAAATGGTTGTTTGGTGACTAGGCAGCCAGTGGTAGGCACCTTCCTACTGGATTTGGAATGGCTCCTTTTCTGCTCCCAGGCCACCTCTAGTATAGTTAAGATCCTGAGCGTTATTGGTTCGAGAGGTTGTTTTTACCAGGCCGCGGAAGCAGTTTTCTTCTAGTGGTTCTTGGTTTGTGAGGTGGTTGCAGCCTTGCAGGCGTGCGACGTCATTTTTTTTTAATTAGATGGAGTTTAATAGTAATAACCTGCACACTCGGTTAAGGGCTCAGTCGCAGGAGACAGGCAGAAGGTGTTGGACGGAGAAGGAGTGTGGTTTTGACTAGAGGGCTCTGTTTAGACCCGGACCCCATTTTAGGGGCTCAGTAAGTAGTATAGTAGTCCCTTCTTTTGAGTTAGTGAATATGAAGGTTTAGAAAACCCATAGGAGTTACGCTGTCAGTTTATCTTTTTCCGGTTTGTGAGGAGTTTGCAGGCCTGAGGCTATATTTAGTTTGGTGGGTTTTGGTTTGTGAGGCAGTTTTTTTTTTGTTTTTTTTTTTTTTTGTTTTGTTTTGTGAGGCACTTTCAGTCCATTGGCTCCTTTTCTTTTTCTTTTTTTTTTTTCTTTTTTTTGGCTCCTCTTCTTCCTCTCCGGCCTGTGGCATCTTTGTTTCCCAGGGTCGGGTGATATCAGAGCACCGAGAGCATCGGTCTGGATTTGGCCATTTCTGCCTCTGGATTACGCACCGACGCCTGCACGTAAGCTGGGTATAGGTCCCAGAATTGTTTGTGTTGTTCCCCCGGTTGTTTGTTGAGGTTTCCCCAGGTTTAGTTCTGCTTTCGAGTATACATGGCTCCCTGCTATCCGATCTGAAAATCTCACGGCCACAGTGTGACCACGTTGAATAATACACGAAACATAAACTAAACCCCCACTAATGGGACAAGGCCCCCGGCCTCCCTCTTCGAGTGTGTAATCAAAAAAGAAAAAGGAAAAAAAAAAAGAAGGAACCAACCGGGGCGAGAACTCGCAGATGGAGGGAGGGAGATCCAGCGGCCTAACTCAAAGGCTCGCAAGTGGCATTCAGGAGGTCGTGGGTTCAATCCCCACTGGCCTCATGTACCTTCCTAGGCATGCTTGTCGCCCGCCACCTAGAGATAGACCAGGAACCGACCGGGGCGAGAACTCGCAGATGGAGGGAGGGAGATCCAGCGGCCTAACTCAGTCGGTAAGGCTCGCAAGTGGCATTCAGGAGGTCGTGGGTTCAATCCCCACTGGCCTCATGTATGTCGCCCGCCACCTAGAGATAGACCACTGGATCCCCCGATCGGCATTGAGCATAGTCTGCTGATGTTCGTAGGGGAGGGGACCACCACCTGAGGGGAGGCACAGGGATTGGTCCTGTTGGCATGGTCCCTGATGCTACAGGCTGTCCCCTGGCCGGTATCGGGAGCAGGCCCCGCATGTTCTCTCGTGAACACGGTTCTGGCTGCTACGGGGCTCCCCGTATGCCTACAATTAGGAGGAGTGGTAGGTAGGTAGTGTGAGGTGAAATTGAGAGAAGAATATAGGTTTTTTCAAAAAAGAAAAAAAAAAGATGGGAGGGAGCAACTGGGCTCCCCGTATGCCCTCAATTAGGAGGAGTGGTAGGTAGGCAGTGTGAGGTGAAATTGAGAGAGGAATATAGGTTTTTTCAAAAAAAGAAAAAAAAAAGATGGAGGGAGCAAGCCGAGCAGGGAAACCGGAGCGAAACCGCACACGTAGAGGAAGCAAGAGCGAGGAATCGGCGAGTGCCACCAACGGCAGCTGATAGGCGAACGACGAGAAGGGCGGGAGGCGGGCGAAGGAGTCTGAGAAAGAGAAGTAATTGAGGTCGTACTCTATGATGCCAGCCCACTGTGGCGACTCCGTTATGAGGGGGGACCGCTTTCGTGGCATTTGGAGGAATCGAAGATGCCTAAGTGTGGATGGCGGGAATCCTGTGGAACAGATGGCGGGGCGGTTGATAGGCGATTGGGTTCGTAGGGTGGAAATCCTTGTAGCCATGGATGAGGTGGGGTTGAGAGGGGCGGCACTATTTCAGCATTCGCTTATCGAGCGAGGCGCTGCTGGACACCTGTGAGGAGAAACGCAGAATCGGAATCCCCCTGAAGAGACTGCAAGCGGAACAGCCGAAGCGCGTTGAGCTCGCGCCGCGTGGGTGGCAGAAGCCGCAGAACTACGGTTGTGCCATTCTTGTCAGACTGATGGCGCGGTGCGGTAACAGCAGGAGATGGTGCCCATCGTTGGTGGGTGAGTGAGTTCTCTGGACTACCTTGGATACGTTGAGGCGGTTGTTTGTTCTTGATCGAGAATGCGTCATGAAAACGAGTTCATCTCCGACTTTCTGCAAGTGCTGTCATGGGGAGCATGAGTGCGTGCCTCTCTGTTTTTACCCCTACTAGCTCTTCATTCAAGGATGGACTACTTTTTTTCTTTCCTTTTATGTGCCGCCCAGTTCTCCTATGGAGTCGAAATTGCTGAGTCAAACGGTGAACTCCTTTCTTTTCCTTTTTCTTTTTCTGATCACATAAGTGGGAGACGGCCTTCAGAAGGCCGATTCAAGAGAAAAGGGCGCACTGGGACGTCAAAGGGAGATCTTTGGGAGATGGAATAACCAACCTGCTTCGACTCTCGATCTCCTTCAGCGGCGCATCACCATGAGAGGTCATGTTGACCTCCTGAGGCGAGAAGAGAGGGATTGGATGATGGCGCTGGGTGTAGTGGACAGGGAACAATGAGGGGAGGTGAAGTTTTTTTTTTTTCC